AGAGAGAGAGAGAGAGGAGATCCTCCGTTCCTCACCTATCATAACTCCGGTCATAATCAGGGTCACTCCGATCCTTTTCCCGGTCCCTGAAAATCGCAACCCTACAAATGCCATCCCTGTTACAGGTCTTCTCAACCTCATCCTGAACATTTAGGTCACCACTCTCATTTTCATCTCCACTCGAACAAGAGCTCCTCCCATCTGTTGCAGCCGGAGCAGATACAACCTCTGAATCTGAACTGCCCGAGCCATTGAAGATGCGGGCCCTTGCTCTATCATACTCCTCCTTCCTCTCTTCTACACTTCGAACTGCGCTTCTCTTAATGCCCTGATCAGTTGCATCATTAGGGGCAGCTTTTTGTGGTCTTGGCTTAATGGCAATTTTAACATGTTCTGGCTTGTCAGTTTCTGACATTTTTGCAGGAATTTCACATAAACAGATCGATGGGTATCTGCTTTCTGGTGTCTTACGAACTATTATCCTGCTTCCTGAGCCATCAGCCGTGTTATCAGATGCCATTGATTGAAGACCATAGTGCAGAGCAACACGGTGGGCAGCAAGTCGAAGATATGAAGTTGGGAAATGTGGGAGTTCTAGCTGTTGTTGCTCGGGATTCTTCATGAGCATCTGAATATCCAACTCCATCCGCAAAACTACAATATCATAGAAACCCAAATTCATAAGAAAGGTTAAGCCATGATACTGAAAGCAAGAACATAGCTTTTAGTTATTAATGTCTTCGCTGGATGATTGAATTGCTGAATAGGCACAGGTATCGACAAATATGCGCAAATATAAGTGAAAGAAAGCTCTGACAAAAGGAAAACCACAAAACGCCAAAATGAAATCATGATCTCTATGAATATTTTTTTAAAACAATTATCTATAGGAGTTCAAATTACATACATTCATATGCTCTAATCCATGGATAAACATCATCATCGTCATCAAAGCCTTTTTCCAACTATTTAGGGTCGGCTACACGAATCCTGGTCCGCCATTCTGCTCTATCAATGACCATACCCTTAGTGAGGCCATAAGTCCATGTATCTTTTCTCACTACTTCCAACCATATCCTTTTGGACCTACCCCATGTCCTTTTTTAGCCCAATCCAATCCATGGATAAGAAAGCCTACAAATTCATGACCCAAACCCCAATGTCCTCGAGATATCTACCGACCTCTTTCTTTTAATTGTTGATACTGCAATTCATTTGAATTGTCTTTAAGATAGTTCTTAATTTCTCTTGTAACCATCTTGTCAATTATATACGGGAAGCAAAAAAAAAAGGAAGAAGAAGAAGAAGAAAGAAATAAAGTAAGAAAAACAATTTGAAAAACAATTTAACCATGAAAGGGGTAACTGTTCGATACCCAATAAACGCTTGACATTCGGACTAAATGAAATATGATATTTCCTAAAGTGTTACACTGTTACTTTAATTTTAATGACTTTAAAACAACATATACTTCAGGAATCCAAATTTTTTATAACAGTCCCCTTTAAGTTTTAATTTTGTACAAATACAGAAACAAAAATCTTAACTTTCATGACATATTTTCCATTTTGTTTCTCCAAAAACTTCCTATAACAAATTTAAAAATAAAAAAAATAAAAAATAAAAAATAAAAAATAAAAAAAATAAATTTAAAATTTTATGAGTAATAACCATGCTGTCACACTACTGATCGCCATCAGGAGGGGCCCAAAAAGTATTCTTTTTCATAGCAGGAACATGCACAATCTACTATAAGCAGTGCTCAAAGCCCTTGCGCAATACCCAACATCACTTGGCAAATGAATCGTAAATGCTAAAAGAAAACAAAGTGATTCAAAATCACAAGGATGGAAATGATATAATAATGTTTTGACAAAAAAAAAATTTAACGGTTGTTATCAATGTTAGATTCCATGGCTCGGGCAAGGTAATCTGCCCCTTGCCAAGCCGAATAACTCAAGGTCAGTCCGAGTTGACTTCCCCAAGTCCTGCCTGAGCTAGAAAAAAAGCGCCAAAAAACAAAGCTATCAGTAACTTAACATTTTACCCATTTTCAGCTTTCAAAACCATGATCATGTTTCGATGGGCCTTTTGAAAGTTAAATCAAAATACGTTAAACAGTTGATTAACTAGGCGTATGTAAATAAATTTCCAAAAAAATGTGAAAATCTGGATAGAATAAGGAAAAATATTACAAAATACAAAATCACAACAATTTAGAGTATAAAACATGAAATAGAAAAAAATGATGTTCTCAGCTTGAAAAATAAAAAAATATGCAAAAAAAAAAAGGAAAAATAATAAAAATCATGAAACGGAAATAAGCAAGAAATGCATGGGTTAAAACCAAAACAAAGCTTCAATACGAAATGCACCAAAACAAAGCTTCAACAAGAAATGCATGGGTTAAAACCAAAACAAAGCTTCCAACACACTCTAGAAAAGAAGGTCAAGAACCTAGTTGATGAGTATTTGTTTAAATCCCTTTCTTTAAAAGAATTATCAATGAATTTAGCACAATTATAAAGGGCACATTTGGTTCGCATGACAATATTTCCCAGGAAATATGAAATATTTTCACGTGAAAATATTCCCTCGTGGTTAGAAGTGGGAATATTTTCACACCAATTGGTGTGAAACAATGCACTAGGACCAATTGGTGAGGTGAAAATATTCACACAACTAACCACACAAAGGAATTATTTCACGTGTTCATGTGAAACAAACGTGAGTAAAAGATTTGATCAGTTGGATGAGACTGTTTGGCTGAGCAGAATGAGCATTAAATATACCTCAATTCTTGAATCCGAACCAGTCGATGGGGTGATCAATACCCAATGGCATAAAAACGAAAATAGGAAATACGTAAGTGCCATGTGAACAAACCCATGAAATGAAATACCACAATTTATTGGTATTATGACATATGAACAAAAAAAACAAAGAGTTCCTGTGTTCAGAAATGAGTCTTCAAAAAGATGCCAATGATTCAACTCAGCTAAAAAATAAATAAGACATTAGAAAGCAGCCAACATGCATGGAAACAATAAAAATTCAGCCAGCAATATCCCACATACCATAGTTTCAAAATTTGAACCTGGACAAAGACTCCGTTAGTCTTAGGGTCCAGGTTGAACTGGCAACCCAATGGGTATAGACCATGTCGATTAGGTGGATTATAACAGTCTAAAACCATGACAAGTATGTCATAAAACCTTGTTTTGGTCCTACCCACCATAAACTGACCTGGTCATCAAATGTCCTAGCCAAGTCAGGCTGATCCCAGGTTGACCAGCAGGGTTTGCAAACTTATGCCACATAAAGGCATCAATGCAACAATAAGAGAGATGAAGTGTCATTTGTATGCAACTTAAATTGCGCATGCACAATCAAAAAATATAGTTACCCAATCCAAACATGATTAGTGTGTTTGCCGCATAAGATTGCAAAATCTATACCCGCTACAAGCTTAAGAGTTTTGCAATTCTAAGTCCAACTATACAGGTTTTTGTGCTTGCTAAGTCCAAAAAAAATAGTTAAAACTCAATTCTATAACTAGTTATTTTTAGCATTCATTAGTGTATCCAAATTCAAGAAAACAAAAATACAATAAAACCCACCTTAAAAAAATCCAAGAAAAAAATCCAAAGACAGTGGAAGATAGAAAAAAGAGATGAGGTATTGTGTAAAGCGAAATAAAATGAGAGGTAAAAGAAGCAAATCACTGCATAACTGAACCCAAGCGTCAAGAAAAGCAAACATTAAAAAAAAAGATAAAAAGGAAAACGAATGTTGTTTTAGTAATAAGTACCAAATAATACAAGAATGTCATATAAAACTTCACAACAACAAATTCAAAGATAAAATACAGTGGGAACAAAAATCCTTAGATTCTAATAAAGAACAAGCAGAAAGATAATTTAAATATTTAGCACAAATCGAGTTTGACTAAAATACAGTTACCCAACATAAACCCTATCCAATAGCAAGGAAACAGAAAAAAAAATACCAACATAGACGATAACATATCAATTAGAACCAATATCTTGAATCAACAATCAAGAACAAGCCAAAAAGGGGAAAAAAAGGAAGGAAATAATACTCATAACATAGCATCAAGATAATAAACCATAGCCACAACCAACTAAGCTGAAGAAAAGATGAGGACAGGAATATTAAATAAATATTTCTATTTCCAATTACATAAAAGGAAGCAACACAACTAAGTAGAACATTGAGAAAAAGTTTTGTTTTTTTTTAAATCATCTTTCAAAAAGAGTTGGACCGATGAGAAAAAGTTAACAAACAACCCCATATAACCAGCAATAGCCAAGAAACTATTCCATTTTATGAAAACCAAATCATTCAATATCTAGAGACCCAAAATGCCTGCCAAGAAACCATTTTCAAATAAAGAAAAGCTAAATGTTGATTAACAAAGACAAATGATCAAGTTGAAACAGGTTCTATCTGAAATTTTATAAATTCTACCCTAACATTGTCCTACTAAGAGATGAGGCCCACCAGAATACGACATGATCAAATTCATAAATCCTTTCACTGCCCAATATAGTCCATCCATCAATCAGATGAACGGGGAATAACAATCCATAGGGTAGAAGTTGTTCTACCTGAGCATTCCACTCAAAAGAAAATGTTCAATTCCAGGGAACCTTGTATTTTGAGAACTGGATGAAAAAGATACAAATATCGAGAGGTAGATATCTTGAAGTGAAAAGATAAAAAAAACTGAGGGTAAGTACATGGAAGTAAAGGTTGCTGAATTGACAAGACAAACTCTAGATCATGGTACCATAGACAGACACAGAAATCCTAGATGTCAAATTACAGGATATAAGTGATAGGTAACCAGTGTTGTAATTACCCAGCACAAAAGCAAGAATCCCAATATCTTGATGAAGAAACCATGAACAAATTGGCAGCCATTTGTAAGTGCCAAGCCAGAAGAGAATCAAACATTGTAGTTTCAGGAGCTGAATCTATGAGGACAGGATTAAAAGTCACGAAGAGAGAGTTAAAAGCAAGTCCCTAGATATTGAATTGCTAAACTAAGTACAGATCAGAACATAGTGCATGATTTCCCTGGTGAAATAAGCATAAACCATATGCCAGGGTAATAAGCTAGTATGTTATCTATACAACACCCAACGAGAAAAGCAGAAGTACCAAAACGAGAGATACAACCAAACCCCAAATCAGCTTTTACCAGATAAAAGGAAATTAAAAACAGATCCGCTTTAAGAATCATTTCTTGATGACGAGAATGAACTAATGAAGATCTTATGACAGAAACAGTAGCCAAAGAAGACGACGAAGAATCTAAGACGAACAAGATTGATGAAGAAGATGATGAATTATGCCTCCTTTAGGTAGTAAACCTAAGGTCAGGCCGGTCAAACCTCCCCCACTATACCAATATTATCGTAATCTGATCTACCCTCCCATTCATCCTCAGGCCTGTCCAAATCCCAAGCCCCCTCCCCATATCCAAACCTCTGATATCAACCCCATCCACAAAACTTATGCAAAAGTACTAACCTCTAAAACTATTATCCCTCCCCTAACCTCTGCCCCCTTCCATTGTGATTTGTGTTCCTCATATTTGGCTTGCCAACTCCTCTGAAATTCAAGAC